CTGTCATCACTGGTTTCTGGATCTAACAGGCAGATACACTCCATTAGAAAAAATGCTTGCCTGAGTACAATTAGCAAACAAACAGAATCCTCCTCAACACATAGCTACTTTTCCTGATAAAAGACAGCCACTCATTTATTTGATTTTCAGGCAGACAGAAAAGGTGATAGAAATTACAAGGATTAACTACAAAATAAAAATTATGATTTGGAATTGTAAAAATTAATAAGTTTCCTAGGAATTTGCCTACTGAAGATTTTTCTTTCAAAGGAGACATACTATATCTTAGGGGTACCTTCCCACCTAGTTTGCAGCAAGGAGTATCAGGCCATCCTTGTTAGTCGTGTCGATTGACCTATGCATCTGAAAAGTCTGGAGTTTGCCTTATTGCACGTCAACTTGAACATCATGGAGTAAAATTCTGCAAATAAAATTTCATGCCATTCAAGGCATTTTGAAAGGAGACATAAAATAAAATTTTTCCTTGCATCAATAACAAGGGCAAGTGCCCATGTGGTATATAATTCATCTGCTTTCAGGGAATTTATTTTTGAGATGAAAAGAGGAAAAAATCCTGACTGTTCTGCAGCACAAGTAACTGTTGTAGAGATTTGTGATGATTAAAATAAAGCTATCTGTTGGCAATACCACAAATATGAACAGATCTTTTCTAAGAGCCTACTACATTGAGGGAAAGAAAAATGTAGCTGACCTAACAGTTACCCATCTTCCAATTTTTTCATATGGACCCATGGGTATCTTCATCACGTACACTAGTCAAAACTCAGACATACACTCAGCACACTATCAACTCTTCCTCCAGGCAAGGATTTCATTTGGAATAACACAGACATTGCCTTCTAGACTTCAAGATTCACAAAATGTCACATCTAACTTGTTCATTTGCATTGGAATCCAAATCTACATCAGATGCCCGCTAGTAGGATTAATGGTGAATCCACAACATTTCTATCCCTTGGAAATACATAAGCAAATCTCTGTAATACTTGTTGATACAAGTGATACTGAAATTCAGATCTATGTAACCTGTGACTAGAACTATCTCTACTGCTCCATGGAACTGCTTCAGGTATGACTAATGCACGATCCTCACGAACACCATCACTTCATTCAAACTACTGAAGAAACAGATGCTTTCTTTTTTTTAGATTTTAACACTATTTTTATGCTATGCTGCTTATAATCTTTTACACATTTTAGTTTCTTACTCTAAACTGCATGCGATGATGGCAGAAACAAAGTTCCTTTGCATCTATTCAGGTTTAGAAAATTAAAATTGTTTTCCACTAAAAAGGAAGAATTCCATACTAAGAACTAGGTCTTTATTTCATGTACTCACATTAAGCAGCACCTCACTCCTAAGGGTTCATTGCTTTCATTTAAATTATTCTGCAGGATGCAAATCAGGATACTGCAGGAACGTTCAGTGACTGTTTAAAGTCTGTCCTACACAGAGGAGCATGCAAATTGATTCCGATTCAACAAACAGAAGAGACACTGTTCTGAACTAGAAGCGTAGTAATAATCTTTCATTTCTAAATAGTGAAGTGGTAAGTTTAACATCCTATAATCAAATTATTTGAAGATCAAAACAGATTAAAAAGGATTTTCGCTGTAGCTTCTTGTCTGTACAATTTAACAATGCTACTGTTCCTCAGTTACAAATTTTATTTTTGTTCTTTAGAGTTCATTCAACGAGGCATTCAATGTTAGTTTCTAATGAAAGAACTTGCTCTTTCAAAAGCATGTAAAAGAAAAATAGATGTGGTCAGTCATCTAGAATGACACCAAGAACAAAGCAAAATCAGCCAAACAAAGTAAAACATAAAAAAGCAACAAGCAAACAATTAAAAGAGAAGCTTAAAAACAGCAGCAATAAAAATGGAAAAGGAAAAAAAAAAAAAGCAAAAACTAAGTTTGTGGTACATCTGATCATGCTACACAGTCACAGCTAATAATTCCACACTATTTAAATAGCCTGTGACAAAAGGACAGTTAACTATCTGAGAAATGCCAATCATCCTTAGCTAGAATGAGCCTACTGATTCAAGATCTAGTCTTAATCTCAGAATAAACAAGAGTAAAGGGGTCAAAATTACTAGCCTACCAATGACACTGTCAAGTGAAAATAAACTCCTCAGCACCACATTAATATCCATTAGTTTGTGAGTTATGGATTCAATATGCTAATACAGTAGGGAGACTGTAATCAGTGAAGCAAAACACACTATTTTCAACAGTGACAGTGCCAACCTTGTAGCAGGCCAATGAAAAACACTTTATCTGTGCTATGTCTGGAATTGCCACAAACATATACAAAATAAGATCATCACCATGACAACAGGCGAAAGGCTAAAGACATAGTCACCATCAGAGCAGTGGGGCCCTGTGGAGAAGGGACAGCCTTGCTCTATCCAAAGCTCCTCAGTTTGTTGATTAACTTGTTGATGAGCAAACTTGTTTACGACAAACCTGCTGAAATCCAACAGGCTTAAAAGAATGCCTGAGAGAAGCTCAGGGTGGCTTTGAAACTTCAGTATGTTGAAATTTCAGGATGGGTGCTCGCTCAGACCAAGGGTACCCTGTAGGCTAAACCAATGCTGGAATCCAGATCAGTGATTGTCATGGTTCTATGTTTTTTTGTTTTTGTTTTTGTTTTTTGTTTTTGGGTTCCAGTATTCCACATCAAAACATCATGTCGTGTACGGGGCATTAAAGTGTCACTGCCCCAATCCCAGCTACCTATCCCTGTACATTACAGCAGTCACGGGATCTGGCCCTTCCGGGTGGGGGGGCGCTCTCTTGCTGCCTGGCAGTGGGTGCTGGAGGTGCTTTCCTAGCCGTTCCAAGCTTTTCAAGTTTGACTTAGTCCCGGGAACTCTCTCTCTCATCTCGTCTGATTTATTAATCCCAATTTCAATTAAATTGTATATATTGTGTTATCTTGTATTCCAATATTATAGTAAAATAAGTTTTCCTCCATAGATTGTTGCCGCTGCTCTTTTCCTCCCTTCCTTCCTTCCCATTTTTTTGTGGGACTGGAGTGAGGGGGGAGGGCAGAGGCCTGTCGCCCCTGTCACGGACATAGATTGATCTGGTCAACTCCATGACAGTGATCTCTTTCTCTGTCCATTTCTCTTTCTGTCTCTTGCCAATTCTTCACTTTCTTTTCTTTCTTTTTCCATCAAAAAGTTGTAAAGTAATGCAAGCCTTACTTCGATTTCTTATAAAGTTGCAAAGTTTATGTGCACAGCTTAGAAAGATACAATTGTAAGAATACCAATACTTTTAAGATAATTGTAGTACAGAGATTCTCATTAAAATTGATGATTGTGTTCGGAACTTGAGTGCCAGCTTCACCTTAATCTACCCAGAGGGAATTTGAGAATCTGGTCACCCCTCCTCACCCCTCCCTCTTTTAACAGACGGGATGTGACAAACCTAAAGAGGGAAAAGCTGTAAGAGAGTCTTGCTGTGAAATGGGAAAAAACTAAATATGCATTTCATGAAGACATTCAAATACCAAGTTCAGCAGAAGTAATACACGTTACAGCATAATAATTAAAGTCATATTTTTGAGTGATAAAATCTTGCAATAAATAAAGCCAGAATGGTGCTGGTGGAGAAACAGTGCTGCAGTGTGTCTTGCTAATTGAACAGCTATAGCTATAGCCAGAGTTTGAACTCATAATTTCTTTCTGCCTGGGCTGCTAGATGTCATGTCTGTAGAGAAACATTAAAAGGAACATCTCTATTACATATACAGCACATGGACCAGTATTAACAAACTGTACAACATGAAATGGTCAAAAGACATGCAAATAAACCCAAGCTACCAATTTATTTTTAGATTTTCATTTCTATCTTTTTATTATACTATATATATTATATTATACTATATATTATATTATTATAATATAATATATACATAGTAAATATATATATTATATTATATTATTATACTATATATGTAATATTTGTATTTAGAGATATAGAGATGTGGCAACAGCAGTAATTAATAACATAGACATAATATAGGTATTACACTGCTATGCCTCACAGGATTTAACATGAAATCCTATGAAAATTCCACTTAAGTGAGCAAACTAAATATTCAGAATAGTTCCAAACAAATATAAAAGAAATCTCTCTGCAGTACGTCTATAGAAATGAATAGTAACTGTTCCTTTTTTTCTGCTTTCTTGTAAATAAAATAAAAACATAGCATTACAATAGTAACTACAATATTATCCTGCATAACGTTTCACAGATCTTTCAAAAAATTGCCTCCAAAACTCAATTTATTATCCACAAAATTCAGTGACGTGCTCAGTAAGAAATCCTGCATCTTTACATTACATCATGTAAAATAGTAATACATAAATTTCACCATTACAGTGTTTCAACAGAAGTCCATTTCTATTAATGTAAAATGCTAGTTTAGCTGGTGGCCCTCAAATTATTGACTGGCAACATACATTAAGTTTGATATTATGCTATCCTATGAGGCAAATCAAGCAATAGAGGATAACATGTAATTGCTACACTTTCATCCAGTAAAGCTCTACCAGAACAATTAACCATCAACTGTCTCATAAGCTCCACAGACAATAATCAGATATTGAAGTACATCTGCATTTGCAGCAAAAGTCAATGCTTTTGTCATTCTTATGTGTATTCTTAACTGTATTATGTGGCTCCAAGATTTAAGGTGTGGAGAAACAATACAATAAGTTGTGCATATAACATATTTGTTCCTACTGATGCTTCCTAGACGAGTATTATTAAAATTTACTCTTGGAGATGATATATTAGAATATATTTAGTGTTTGATATATTAAACTATACTCAGTATTAACAATGTAACATGAAATATCAAATAGAGTAAATGCACACATATGCACACATATGTACACACACAATGAGTATTTTTACTTTTTGTAAAGTACATCTTAAAAGAGGAAATAAGAACTACTTACACCAGAATAGAAAGGCTCACCAGACACACAGATCACATCCTGCTCCTGGATCATCAATATATCTTTGGCTAAGTGCAGTCGCACTTTGAAAGGCTCCTGGTTACCATCCTGCAGCAAACAAATCCCTGTCTTTGTCTTGAAAGGAATAAAGAAAAAAGTTTTCTCAGCATGCTCCAAATTTCAAAAAAGACAGACGATAAGTCTTAGTTGAGAGTTTGATACAGTTTGTGTTCATACTTCAATAAGTATCCAAAGCTATTACCAGTTACTGCTATGCATTTACTGTGCTTAGACTGAAAGAGAACAAATGGCTGTGGTTGTAATGAGCAGAGGTACGTTTTTCAATTATAAAGCCTAATTCAGTCAATGATGAATTTGTAACACATCTCTGGTTAGCTTTGGGGTAGCTCTGGTTATACTCTCCATCTCTGGATTAAATGATGACAGCTCACTTGGATACAAAATCAAAACTGCTGTTTCTGCGCGCTGCACCTTTTTTGGCACAAAAAGACATACAACTGTATAACATCTCCAAACTAACCACTAAGCACTAACAGCCTATGTGAACCTGTTCTGGGCTTTTCCCAAAGCGCAAGCACATCAACTTACAGTACTTTTCAATGACAATACTGAAGTTAAGAGACAACAGGATCAAGGAATATAACTCCCTCCAATAACTTAATTCCCACTTCACTTCTGTATTCTGTATTTACAGCTACAGGTCAGGAATTCCATAGGATTCTCCTGTATAAAATATATGGCTTTTGAACAACTTAACAGAATCCTTGTCAGCACATATTGGTGCAACTTTTGGGATTCTATCTATAAGAGATAAGAGCAGTGAAAAAATCTGCAGGTGGAAGCACACACAGTATTAGCAGAATGTCCTTGAAGGCTGTATTGAAATTAGCATAAATGGACAAGTTGCTAGGACATTTTTGTATGAGAAATTTATTTACATATTATGTAAAAATTAGCAATTTAACACAGAATTTGCCTTTATCGTATAACTACAAGTACTTGCATAGACACAAGTATATATGTAATTATGCATATATCTCAGAAAACATTTTTTAGTTGAAAATGGTTTTAAATCTTAGGCTCATCAATGCCAGTAACAGAGCTTATGTTTTCTTCATTCGGGTCAGATTTTAATCCACGGGCTGTAGAAAGTTGACTTGAGAGAAGATCAAGGACACAAGTCTTGCGGTGAACTTTCTCTGCCAAGGTTGACCTGGCTGAATCTAAGGGCTCTTTCTCAGACAAGAGTTTAAAAGAGCGTTTCGAAGATCTCCCCATAGTAAGCTCTGATACCCTAGATCTATAGCATGAAGAGAAAAAACAGAAATACAGAACTGACAGTAGGCAACTGTAAGAAGGAAAGCTTAAATTATTCCTACAAGGTGCTAAAAGAGGTAGGAAGGTCAAGAACAATCTTTAAATAGTTTTATATAATCTCCCCTGATGAACTGCTCTTTTACTTCGGCTCCATGCTCAATACTCAAAAAAATGTTTTCTCTGAGGGACAGGCAGCAAAACTGTATAATTTACTCAAATCTTTGAAATATTTTATTCAAGTAACAAAAACAAAAGGGTTTTGAACACTAAACTCACACTAAAGGTAGTGGGTGCTCTGATTATACAGACTTGTTTTAGTATTTATGTGTCATTTTTGTAACAGGATGGGATAGAAAAGGCTTGACATGGACAGACAAATTAAATAACTGGATCAGCAAAAAGAGTTAAGTTTTCAGTACCAATGAAAAACTCCCTCATAGAACACATATAAAATATTAGAAAATAAAAATAAAGAGATGGTAATATAGTTAAATTAAATTGCACAATTCCTTCTCTTCATAACTTTGCTTTATAGACTCAGAGGGATCTTCCTTGTATGGAGTTGTGAAGTAAGCAGTAAACAACTATGGTCAAACAAAATAGATAAGCCCACAAACACACACCGTTTATAAAACACCTTTCTCCCATAGTAAACGTTAGCAAACATGCTCTCCCTCATCCCCTGGATAAATGGCAATGGGATAAATTCTGACTTTAATATACTGGTTTTAGTAGCACTGCCTTACTTGACTGCACATTTCTGATTTGGTCTATTACCCTATAAAGTCTCAAAAGAATCTTTCTGCACAAAGCTAAGGGGCTTCTTTGTGGGAATTAAGAGGCACATAACCATAGCAGGCACAATTAGGCATTAGAAAAAAATTTAAAATTCAAGTCAGTTTCCAAATGCGTGTGGGCTGAGTTTATTCAGTCTGAACAAAGGAAACCAAGCTTGGGAACAGCAAAACATTTTGGCTCTTGGAAAGATTGATTTGCACATTCAGGCATCTTACTTACATCAGACACTCTAAAATGCAATGAACCACTTCACTGTTGTTGGGCTTTATGAAAGCTGGTTTATGATACAGTTCAAAATTAAAGCTTCAATTATGCTATGTCCTTCCCTATGTTATCTGAGAGCAGCATAAACAACTATATAAAGGATAAGATCCTAGGAGATGATGCTAAAAATCCAATTCAGTTTCATTAGATAAGCTCAAGACAATTCTGTAAGAACTACATTTATTTTTTTCATTGTTCTACTTATATCTCTTGACATTTCTTTTTTCTTCCTTTTTTTTTTTTTTCCCTCCCACCTTAAAGCATCCACTAAACTGAATCAAATAAGGAGGCAAATTCCTGCATCTTTATACTGAGCTGCAACTTAGTGAAGTTTTTCTGCACATATGTTTTCATGTAAAATCACAGTGCACATCAGCACCTTTTATCCACACAGCATGCAGAAAAATTAACCTGGCTGGAAGATCAGGAGGGCTGTCTTGTCTATACCCCCACAGTCTCTTGCATGTGCCAAGGCTGTGGCTGATGTCAGCTTCTGTTCCCTTGACTAACTTTTATGAGATTCCACAAGAGGGTGCGCCAAAAATTTTCCCTTCAAGGCTTTTATATTTCACTGCCAGAGGGTCCTGCCCTGCCCTGACTTACAGCGATAAAATAGCATATGTCATGTCAGCTGAGCTACTGTAACTGTCAATGTGAGGTCAGGCAAAGCATCCTCTCCTGCTCAAATGTATGATAAACTGCACTGCATTGAAACAGACATGGAAAAAGGAGTGTAGTTCAGCTGCTAACATTTTGTTATGCCAGTACACCTTGACTGCCCATGTGAGTGAGCCCAAACTGCTCACTCAAAATGCTTTTATTTCTTCCTATTTTCTTCATCCTATTTGTAGAATTAGGCACCTGTTATAAAGAGGGCAAGAAAAATGAGTGTTACAAGCTGCATGTGTTTATGAAGTCTGCAAGGCAGGGTATGGAAGGGATAGGGAAGTAATAAACAGTGATGAAAGAATGAGGTTTTGTATGAGAGAGCAGTTAGTGACTTCAAGCAAAAGCAATGAAGAAGATAAAGGTGTCTTCCTTCCTAAGTGACAGATGCAGTGAATTCTGCACCTCCACTGTATTGTCTCTGCCATTGGATGCCACTTACTTTTTAGCTCAATTACAAAGGATCACTGCTTCGGTAAGAGATGATGTCGTTGGTACAAGTTTAGAAACTGCCTGCTGTTTCTGAACTAACGTTATTATGAGAGGAGCTGAAAACAGATCCATCCATGCTTTGCAATACCACTGTGTGTTGAACTTTCTGTTTCAGAACACTGCTGGAGAATGGCGTAACATAGCAGAGCCCTCAAAGCAGGATACTTCTACAAAGAATATGGCCACACTCAGATGATTACCAGCAACAAGGCATTGAAAAAGGTGTTTCAAAAATCTTTTTCCATTATACTCTGATTTATTCCACATAGCCATATTGGTTGTGCATAAAATCAAGTCCTGATATCTTTCCTAAAAAGAATTTATAAATTCTTACAGATTATAAAATTTTTGCTGTAATATATATGGCCTTCACAAATATTTAGAAATTAATTTCAGAAGAAATATATACAAAAGAGAGCTCCAGTTCGGCCTGGAGAAGAGGATAAGAAGCAGTGGGCACAAACTGGAACACAGGATGTTCCCTCAGAGCACCAGGAGCACTTCTGTGCTGTGCAGGTGACGGAGCGCTGGCACAGGCTGCCCAGAGGCTGTGTGTGGGCTCTGCTCCTCAGAGACCTTCAGCAGCTGCCTGGATGTGGGCCTGGACCCCTGCTCTGGTGCCCCTGATAGAGTGGGATTAGACCCAATGGACCCAGAGGGCACTGCCAGCCTCAGCCATTCTGTGATTCTGTTAAAACTATGGTTTGTACATTTTGGCTAGCAGAATGGTCTCTACTAAAGGTATACCAAAATAAATAAGGTTACACATTGGTTTCAGAGTCATTTCCCTGCAGGACATCAAACATATCAATATGTTTTTCATCAATACCTTTTAATTTACCTGGCCTAAATAAGGCTACTGACAGATTTACTGTTAAATAATTTCAATTTTCATTTATTATTATTATTATTATTAAGAATTTTAATCTTTTTTCTATAGTCCAAAGCTTTTCCAGGGTTTTGTTCCAGAGGAAATTTAATCAGTATTCCAATCCATCTTAGTTAATCTTCATTAGTTTTCAAGAGACTAATATATCTTTTGGTTAGGCTACTTTATCTATTGCTTTTGCCCTTTGGTAATAACGCAATTTAGTTTACTTTAATTCCTCCAGTTTCAGATCCTTTTTAAAAGACCTCGGCACCTCAGCAGATATCCAAGAATTCAGTCTGTGAAGCAATGGAAGAAAGGAAGAGGAAAAAAAAAATCTCTCAGTGATTTTTCTATACAGGATGACCTGGACTTTAATTTTCTCCTTTGGTTCCTGTCTTCCAAAGCATAACAAAACTCTGCAATTTAGTTTAAAGCCATAAAGAATCCGATACATGTAAGGATAATGGGTTGCAGAAACTGCCTTAAAAATGTATGCAGTTAACTTCAGAGGAATACCTACACATTGGGATGTTTATTTGAACAGAAGCTGACCTAAAGGCATACGGAGACATTCCTGTCACTGCTTTACAATGGCAAGTATAATAATCAAAAAGGAAAGTGAATCAGAGGCATAAGGGAGTGATGGCAATGAATACAAGAAGTAGAAATATGTGCCAGAACCACATAAAAGGCATTTTTTAAATGG